GAAACACAGAGATTACTGAAAAAGAAGATTCCAGAAATAAATCAACAGATATATACTCTATTGAATTCTGCCAAAGACAGAGACCCAGGAAATTCAAAGAGGATGGATAATCTTCAACTGGGGTGCTTAAAACATTAGTGCTATATGGAAAAAAATAAAACTCTGACCTTCACCTCACATTATAAAAAAATTAACTTAAAATGGATCATAGACTTAAGTTTAGGAGTTAATACTATGAAACTTCAAGAAGATAACATCAGAGAAAATCTTAAGTATCCTTGAGTTTTGCAAATATTTAAAAAGCAGGACCAAAAATACATCAATTGCGTCCGATCAGAATTTAAAATTTTGCTCTGCCAAAGACATTGTTATGAAAAGTAAAAGACAAGGCACAAACTAGTAGGAGAAAATATTTGCAACCATATATAACACAAAGGACATGATATATATAGTATATAAAAAACTCATTAAGATAGACAAGCTAATAAAAAAAAAGAGAAGCAAAAGATTTATAGATATTTCCCTAAAGATAGGTAGCAAATAGGCTCATGAAAAGATGCCCACGATCGTTAGTCATTATGGAAATACAAATTAAAACCACAATGTAATACTACTATACACATACTAGAATGCCTAAAATTAAAAAAGACCTGACCATTTCAGGTGGTGAGTAAACATGTGGGGGAACTCAAACTCTCATACACTACTGGTAGAAATGTAAAATGGTACAACCACTTTGGAAAACAGCTTGGCATTTCTTAAAAAGTTAAAAAAATACACTTACCATACATCCCAGACATTTACTTTGAGGTGTTTATCAAAGAGTGAATGAAAACATATGTTGACCCTAAAACTTGTATATAAATTCTCATAGCAGCCTTATTTGTAATAACGCAAACCTGGAAACAACCCAAATGCTTATCAACAGTTAAGGGAAGGAAAAATAAGAAAAACAGAGAGGGAGGCAAACCATAAGAGACTCTTAACTATAGGGAACAAGGATTGCTGGAGGGGAGATGGGTAGGGGGATGGGGTAACTGGGTGATGGACATGAAGGAGGGCACTTGAAATAATGAGCACTGGGTATTGTATGCAACTGATGAATCACTGAATTCTACCTCTGAAACTAATAATATGGTATATGTTAAATTGAATTTAAATAAAAAATTTTTAAAAAATGGTTAAATAAATTGTAGTATATCCATATGCTAGAATACAACTCAGCAATAAAAAGGAACAAATTACTGATAAGACAATACAGATGAATTTCAAAATCATTATGCTTAGTGAAAGAAGCCAGACCCTCTCCCCCCAAAATATGTACATACTGTACAATTCCATTTATATAAAATTCTAGAAAATGCAAAGTACTCTACAGTGACAAAAAGCTGATCAGTGGTTGCCTGGGGAAATGGTAGATAGATGGAGAGAGAGGGGAGGAGGATTACAAAGGGGCACAAAGAAAATGTCCGGGTGTGATGGATATATTCATTATCTATATTACTATGGTGATTTCATTAATATATACATTATGTCAAAACACATCAAATTGTATACTTTAAATATGTACAGTTTATTATACATCAGTTACACCTCAATAACAGTGAAAAAAACATGTTTTTATGTTGGAAGACACTCCTTCATGGGTCGTTCACATTCCATGTTTCTCTAGATATGCCTAGCAGGCAAGGACCGGACTGTTCTTTACTGGGGCCTTTTCTTAGGGTCATGTTTGCAGCACATAAAATTGAGGGATGAGGTCAGTCTTTCTCCAAGACAAAGAGCAGGCTTGCTTACTGTTTGACATAAAATGGTGGGTCCCCCAAATGCAGTGTATTTTAGCTGTGATGTAAATGCATTACCTACAAAGAATCCATCTGGGCCATGGCATTGCCTCTATGGGACTTGGGAGCAAGGGGAACCGCCACCATCCTAATAGGCATGCTAATTTCTGTATTGTAAGTAATGAAGTCCTTTGTCTCTGACTCTGAAGTTTAACATCTTCTGTCAGCATTCACTAAACAATAATAGGTTAGCTTTTAAGTTTTAAGTAGGGTAATATCAAATCCTAGACTCTGACAATGTATACATATAGTTCGACAAAGCTAAAGAATAGGATATTAAAGGGTAAAGTAGTAAGGAGTGACATGGTGACTAAAAAGAAAGATATGGCCATAACTCAAGGTAAACAGTAAATAGTAACTAGAAATTATTGAGCTCCTAGGCACTATTCTTCATGATTAATTTGCAATCTGTATACATTTTTCTCCTTAAATATTTGTTGAATAGATGAATGTATGAAAAAATAAATGAAAGAAAAATTAGACTTAAGAGGTTAAGTAACTTAAGATCATACACTCTTAAATGATGAAGGATAATTCAAATTAAGATCTCATACCAAAGATTATCCTCTCAGCTACTGTTATGTTGTACAGAAAAGGAGACTTAAATGCATACTATACAGTTTGGCTTCACAAATGTAAATGATAGGGAACCATGTAAGTATTTTAAACAGAGAAGCCGGGGCTTTTTAAGTAAATTTGAAAAATATCACTTTGAATAAAGTATGGAAGGTGGATTAGAGATTCATTAGGTCTAAAGAGATCACATAAGAGACTATTATAGTAGTTCAACTGAGAGATGCTGAATGCAGGGAGAGAGAATCAGAGTTGGAATTAAGATTTGTTTAGAAAGAACTAAAAGGATTTTTAAAAAATTGAATTTGGAGGATGACAGGGAATAATCTAAGATGATACCAAGGTTTCTAGCTTAGGTTACTGAGTAGATTTGGTAGCATTTAATTAAGCTTGGGAATGGGGAAGAGGGAGGCAGGAAAAGGGATCCAATGGTGTTGAGTGCTGTTAAGGCACAAAAGGGCAACCAAGGAAAAGACAATTAAGTGTAAAAGCATAAACTGTGTTTGGTAAGAAAGTAGTCTAGTATGGTCAGTGTAGTTAGAGGAAAAGGAAAGTTGGGGCTAAAACATGGTATTGGCAAAACTGGATTTCTGCATGTAAAAGATGAAACTGGACCTTTACCTTAAACCACATATAAAATCAACTCAAAATGGATTAAAGACTTAAATTTAATACCCCAAACTATAAAACTTATGAAGAAAACATAGGGGATAAGTTTCTTAACATTGGTCTTGGCAAGAATTTCCTGGATATGATACCAAAAGCACAGGCAATAAAAGCAAAAGTAGACAAGTGGGACCACCTCAAACTCGCAGCAAAGGAGACAGTCAATGAAGTGAAAAGGCAAACTACAGAATGAGAGAGAATATTTGCAAACCATGTATCTGACAAGAGGTTAATATCCTAATTATATATGGAACTACAACTCAATAGCAACCCCCCCCCCCAAGGAATATGATTGAAAAATGAGCCAGGACTAGAACAGACATTTCTCCAAAGACACAAATGGCCAACAGGTATGAAAAGGTGCTCTACATCACTAATTGTCAAGGAAATGCAAAACCACAATGAGATATCACCTGACACCAGTTTGGATGGCCATTATAAAAAACAATATGCCAGAAAATAAAAAGGTAAGACTATGGAGAAAATGGAATCCTTGTGCACTGTTGGTAAGAATGTAAAATGGTCTAGCTGCTATGGAAAACAGTATGGAGGTTCCCCCCAAAATTAAAAATAGAACTACTTTATGATCCAGCAATACCTGATCGTATATAAACTACTATATTCTATATTTTTCACTCAAGCAAACTGCAGCCCTACTTATGCAACATTGCAAATGGAAAATTTAATCTCTGGTTTACTGAAAATTATGATCATTAATCAGCCATCACAGGGTTGGAGGGATATAAAAAAGTCTCATAAGGATTGTAACTAAACAATGAATAAAATTAGCCAATGCTACTCCAAGAAGCTGCCATTTGTTATCCCAAGAATATGATCAAAAGGACGTTAAGAACATCATAATTATAGATTAAGAGTCCAAACTTAAGGTGATTTCTAAAGTATATTTATAATCAGGAAACCATATGGTAAAAATTTTCACAAAGCAAAATTAAGTTTAATCTTTTATCTCTTTTTCCAAGTGTACAGCACAAAACAGTAATTGAAATCAACCTATTAGGTTGATTCAGCTCATCCTAAAATGCTCAAGATTGACTCTGCATCCCACACAAAATATAAAGAAGAATTCAAAATAAATAGCCCATTATTCCAAATTCTATCTACATAAAATCTATTTTTCATAATTTTAGAAAGAGGAAATCTAAAAACTTTAAAACTGAGATTATACTATCCATACAAACAACTTGAAGTATTAAAAAAATGTCTTAGAAGTGATAGCAATATAGGGGCACCTGGCTGGTTCAGTTGGAAGAACATGCGACTCTTGATCTTGGGGTCCTGAGTTCAAGTCCCATGTTGGATGTAGAGGTTACTTAAACAAATAAATCAATAACTTAAAAAAAAAAAAAGGTGCTAGCAATACATATATTTTTAATTTCTCTTTAATTCTAATAAAAATATTTTGATTTCATGAAAAGATACAGTAAAAAAGAAACTCACTAAATTCCATTCAAATCATCTTCAACCACATAATACTTCCTTGCTGTCTTTATAGTGCAAACATGCAATGTTGTTAATGAGATTACGCTGAAATAAATATATTCTCTAGATGTTATAACTGAGGCGAAATGGACTGTTTTTCATGAGACTCCTGCACTATCAAGAACATAAACATGTACTCCTGTCCAAAAACAAGAGGAATATTTTATAGTGGGTAACAAAATCATTCTTAGCCATATCACCTAAACCTAAAGCAACTGAGATTTAAATATTACTCAAGCTTTCAGATTACAGAAAAAAAAAAAAAATCAGAGAAAACCCCAATTTTAATCTCAGAGGAACTCTTAGGATGTATTTACAAAACTCTGCATAGGCCTAATGGTATTTTCAAATACAGTATTCCGTTACTTCAGAACAATAAATGAGTAAAGTAAGTTTCAGTTTCCATAAGGTTCTCACCTGTATAATGCATCATCAATCTCCACAGATTCTGCTGATACAATGGGCAAATTTGTATTTGTACTGGAAAAAAAAAACAACAACACAACTTATAAGGGCAAGTATGGTTATTCATATTCTATAGTCTAATATGCAGTATGGTATGCAATATTCACATTCTATAATCTAATATTCAATTATACATGGCAGTTACTAAAGGGGATATATATATTTTATATATTTTATTTTCCACCCCTTTATTTCCATTTTAAAAATAGGTCAAAATTAAATTCACTGACTGCCTACTCTGTGTGTATTGTAAGATTACAGCCTACAGTTTTATTCTTAGGTGTTATCAGATGTTGTTTCACGTATATTCTGATGGGTCTGTATTTTAGCAATTTTGTTGGAGTGCCCCATACAACTTCTCTAATATACATACTCTCTCTAATCTAATACACATGGAATTTACCATATACTGATGATATCTAAACTTATTTTTCTATGTTTGATCTCTCTTCTGACATCCAAATTTTCCACATCTGCTAGAACAATCTCTCTTTTCTGATGTTTAATTGGTTTCATGAACATAACAAGCCCAAAACAGAATTTAATTCTCTCCGTTTACTCTATTCTTTCCCAGTCTTTACCAACTCGCTGGCACCACCATTTACTCACTTGCTCAGGCCCAGAATCTAGAGATCTTCTTAGCTCATTCCCTCATTTTCTCCATCTGTGTGCTAGTACAGCCTCAGGTCAAACCATTATCGTATTTCATCTGAACTATTTCAAAGCCCTCCTAACTAGTCTCTCTGGTGCTACTATTGCCCTCCCCCTTCAGTTTATTTTCTATTTTACAGCCTAAATTTTTTAGAATGCAGTCAGATATTCTTCAACTTAGAACTATCCTTCAGTAAATATCCTTTATTCTTTGAATAAAATTTAAACACCTGGGGCGCCTGGGTGGCTCAGTTGGTTAAGCATCTGCCTTTTTGGCTCAGGTCATGATCTCAGGGTCCTGGAATAGGGCCTAGAAAGCAGGCTGACAGGAGCGGGCTTCCAGCTCAGCAGGGAGTCTGCTTCTACCTCTCCCTTTGCCCCTCCCCCCCCGCTCCCTCTCTCTCTCTTAAATAAATAAAATCTTTAAAAAAAAATTAAACACTTTACCATGCTCAAAAGGGCTTAGGTGTTCTATCTCCCAACTACCTCTTCAATCACAACTCCCACTACTTTCCCTCTTACCATCTTCATCCACACTGGCCTACTTGCTGTTCCTCAAAAAGCCAAGCATGCTATCACTTCAGTTTTTACACTTGCTATTCCCTCTGCTTGGAAATGTTCCTCCTTTAGATCTCTGAATAGCTGACTCTTATCATTTAAGTCTCAATTAAAATATTGCCTCACAATATTACATAGACCACTCTAGATCAGCCTTTCAAAGAAATGTGTCTTCTCCTTAGGTCACTCCCTAACTCATTAACTGCTGTATTTTCTTCAAAGTACTTATCACTAATTATTTATTGTTTGCCTTCCCCAAGAGAATATATGATCTGCTAAGAATTCCAAATACCCCTTAATAATTTAAGAGCAAACACTGTGTCATACATTGCTTTAAGTGCTTTAGATGTACTAACTCTGTTAACCCTTACAACTTAATGAGACAGGCACTATTACCAACTCCACTGAACAGAGGAAAAAAAACAGGCTCACAGAAGTTAATTTAAATAACCTGCCCAAGGTTCTAGAGTAGGTAAATGGTAGAGCCAGAATCTGAACCTAAACAGTCTAGCTCTTGATCACCATGCTCTACTGCCTACTGCCTCTCATTGTAGGCATAAAGAAAGCACTCAAGTATCTGTTGGATGAATTTTAAAAATTAAAAAAAAGGGGGTGGGGCGTGCCAGGCTGGTTCAGTTGGTAGATCGTGCGACTCTTGATCTCAGGGTTATGAATTTGAGCCCCATGATGGGTGTAGAGATTACTTAAGGAAATTTAAAAAAATTTTTAAAAAGCAGCATACTAGCATAATAAAATATACTTATAGTGATGTATCATTTACCATAGCTCATTTTTTTCACAGTATGGCATACAAAAATGAAATGAAAATGAAAATAGGATAAACACTGGGAAACAGAAATGGTTCCCAGGCAGAGGTGGGGCACTTTGGCCTGAGACACAGTGACAGCTAAGATCAATATCATCTTGGCAAAAGTATAATCCATTCATGTACTGGGAAGCTCTAATAGTCAATTATAGGATTCTAAAAATAATGTGAAAGCACGAAATTTAGGTCTTGGAATTCAATTTTCTAAGCCTGGTATTGATATATAAGCCAAAAGATCTGTAAGTAGAGTTAATCAAAATATTATCAGCTTCTAGCTAAGTGATACATGGCCAACTACTAGAAATATTTCTGATTATAATTATGAGAGCAAACCAGGAGACAGCTGTAGTTTAGGAGATCACCTAATAAAAAATACACATATACACAATATGCCCTGTTTTGGCACAGTAATGAAATATGAAAATAAGCAAAATTTCCTATTAAACAGTTTTCTTATCCCTGGTATACTTTCACTAGCTGTCTTGCTTGCATGGAGGACAATAGTGGGCAAAGCTCTTAAGTAAATATGAGAACAGCTACGTTCTAAACAGCCTTGTCTCTTAATGATATGACCGGCACTTATTTTGCAGAAAATCCTGCCTTACCGGAATGTTTCAAAAGTCATTTTTGTAATAAGATGTATATGGCAATCAAAAATCCTTTAAACAAGGGGAGGTGTTGTTTGTATTACATAATATCCCCCAGGTAAATGTGTCGGCAGGCAATATCATGGTAGTGAAAACATCCCTTCAGTCTGAACTAGCGAAAAAGCTACAGGTTTATGGACAGTCTCAGACTAGCTCAAAAGCATATATCCATCACTTCTATCTTTGGAATATTGTACTCTGGTGTGGGGAGTATGTAACTAACCGCTTTATTAATTATGAGATGACTGAAAAGGAACCACACGAACATTTCCCCCCCTGATTTTCAGGCGTGCAAAAGACGTGAAAAACCTTAACACCAACTGGGAAATAAGAATGAGTAACTCGTGGGTTTTTTCCTGGATTTTTTTTTTTTTAAACTGTAGTCAACAGAGGCCTCAGGGTGTCCTGACTCTGATTCATCATCACCAAGTTCCCTCTGGTAATAGTTTTCAGAGGAGGATCTCGGTGCAGGATCCCGCACAGAGGCGCTCTTAGCTTTCGTTTTACGGAAAGAAGGAGGGAAGGTGTTTGGCAACCGGGCTGGAAAGCTCACACCAAGCGACCCGGGCCAGAACACTCGACGGAGCCCGCTCCACTCCGCTCCACCCCGCGCCCCTTCCCCCCAGACACGTCCAGGGACTGAGAAGATGGCAGACCCCAAATGGAACTGAGAAAGCGCAAAAGGACCGAGACGTGGCCTTTCTCCTCAGCGAAGCCGGGAGCCGCGGAGGTCCGAGCCCACCGCGCCACACCCACCCCGCGCGCTCCCCTCGCCTCCCAGGGCTGGTTCTGCCCGGCTCCGCGGCCTCGCGCGCGCTCCCTATCCGCCCGAGCGGTAGCAGCAGAAGCCGGCGCCCGGCTCCCGCCCGCCACCGCTCGCTCCTTCGCGCTCACACTCGTTCCCTCACCTGCCGGCCCCCCAGGAAGAGCAGGACGCCTCTTCCCCCTGAGGTGTGGCCACCGGCTCGGATGCCTCCATCCCTCCAAGAGACGTCGCCACTGCAGGCTACCGGTAGGCAGGGAAGGGGGCGGGACCGCGAGGTCAAGGGGCGGGTGGTGACATCACCGGAGGGGGCGGGGCCGGGGAGCATGCGGCCGGCCTCAGCTTCCCGTCAAGCCCAGGGGCGTCCTGGTTTCCGGTTTGGGTGTGGCCACGCCGGGCCGGGATAGGCCTCGCCGCAGGTGTGTGCCGAAAGCGGCCCGGCTGCGACCGAGGTTCGGGGGGATGTTAATGGACCGAAACACTGAAGTTTCGCGGTGCCTCTGGCTCCGTGGCCAAGCACAGAGGTTCCAGTGGCCAGCGAAGTGATGGGGTTGCGTAGCAATAAGAGGAAGCCCCTTCATTTAATAAATAAAAAATCGGAAGTTTTGTAGTAGGTAGCTCCAGATTTTCAGGATTTCCGGGATTCCATTTTAAAACGTTACACGTGTAACAAATAATTTTGGGCGTCTACTACAGGCCGGGCACTGTCACAGATTTAATAGAGTTGTGATTTTTAGAGCTATGAATGACATTGTCATCCCGTTGGCTCCCACTATATAGGTGAGGGAAAAGAACTTCCAGACAGCCGAAGTGACTCCTCGAGATGTTAAAAATAGAGCTACCCTAAGACCCAGCAATTGCACTACTAGGTATGTACCCCAGAGATGCAGATGTAGTGAAAAGAAGGGGCACATGCACCCCAGTGTTCATAGCAGCAATGTCCGCAATAGCCGAACTGTGGAAGGAGCCCTGATGTCCTTCCAAAGATGAATGGATAAAGAAGATGTTCATATATACACTGGGATATGACTCAGCCATTCGTCAGAAAGGACGAATACCTACATTTGCATCGACTCGGATGGAACTGGAGGGAATTATGCCAGGTGAAATAAGCAGAGAAAGGCAATTATCATAGGGTTTCACTCATATGTGGAACATAAGGTATAGTGCAGAGGACAAAAGGGGAAGGGAGGGAAAACTGATGGGGGGGAAATCAGAGAGGGAGGCAAACCATATGAGACTTCTGACTCCAGGAAACAAACAGGGTTGCGGAAAGGGAGGTGGGGGGGGGATGGGGTAACTGGGTGATGGGCATTAAGGAGGGCACTGGATGTGATGAGGATGTTGTTCGCGACTAATGAATCGTTGAACATTATACCAAAAACTAGTGATGTGCTATATGTTGGCTAATTGAATTTAAATTAAAAAAAAAGAAAGCATATAACAGGAAAAGGATTACTTTATGTTTATAAGGGCAAACATATTTGAAAAAAATAATGAACTAAGACAGACCAAGTCACTGTCAGATTCAGTACTAGAACACCTGTCTAAGGACTTCTCACCTAATTTTTTCTATTGGTTCCCCTTTCCCCTTTCCTAGAAAAGAATTAGTAGTAGTCAACATTAGGATTTGTCTTTCATTCTCAACTGTACCTTTGAAGAAACGTCTATAGGATTTTAAAAATTAGCATATACTTTGGCTTTATGTTATATCACCTTCTGTAATGTACGATATTTTTAAATTGGGATTTCTTCCTCTCTAGTGTGCAGAGAAGGTCCAGGCAAAACTGCATTATCCTTTGTGCCTCTTCATTCTCATTTCAAAATTGAACATTTCCAAATACCTGGAAACTTCATGTTGCTCGCCTTTGGCATTATTCAGGCTTCTTAATCTAGTTCTGTACATTTTCTACCTAATTGTTGAAAGGAACTTGGTCTATGTCCCATTCTTTCAAGATTCTACTGTAGTACTAAGCTAGTACTATGTTTGTGGCAAATTGATATACAACAATAGAAAATGGATAGCTTGAATTTCATCCACAACCCACATTTCTTTACATTTTAATATCCCTGAAATTGAAATGTATTTTTTCCTTTTTCATCAATACAGAAGATAGTGGTACTCTCAAATTTGAGGTCATCTTAGTGTGAATATAGTGTGAATTATTTTAAAAGTATAACAGATACCCCAATTTAATATTTTAATGTATTATTACATTTGCAAAATAAAAGAAAATTGGAATATCACTAGACTTTTGACAGTGAAACTTTTTGCCGAAAGAAAGTGGAACAACATATTTAGGATACTTAAGGGGAAAATGTGGGCTAAAGATTTTATATCCAGCAAAAGCAACTCTCATGTACAAAGTATATAAATTATTATCAACACCTGATATAGTATCAATATTTGACGAGACTATTGTTGTCATAAAAACTTCCTGAAAAATTACTAGAGAATGAGCATCAGACAACCAAACTGACTAAAGGATCTAAGGATTGGCTCAGGTTCTTTACAGGAAATCAGTTACGTGCATTAGCTTTTGTGTTCCTTCTAGTTTATTCTTTCTTTTATAATGTTAAAACAATATTACTGACGATATTTGTTATGCTGTACTTTTCATCTTTGTGAGCTTTTTATTTTATAACTGGACATTTGTACCTCTTAATTCCCTTCACCTATTTTACCCATCCCACCCACCTTTCTGGTTTATTCTTTTTTTTTTTAAAGATTATTTATTTTAGAGAGACAGAGCATGCAAGCGGGGGCAGGGCAGAAGGAGAGGGAGTGAGAGAATCCTCAAGCAGACCCCATGCTGAGCATGGAACCCATTGCGGGGCTCAATCCCAGGAACCTGAGATCGTGACCTGAGCCAAAATCAAGAGTCCGCCACTCAACTGACTGAGCCACTCAGGCGCTCCCTAATTTATTTGTTATTACTAATTCTTCTGCGATCTATCTCCTCATTTGTGAGTTTTTCCCCACCCTTACTGAGGTAACTGACAAACTTTTAAGATATTTTAAGTGTGCAATGTGATGATTTGATAAAAATACACATTGTAAAAGAATACCTGCCATTCAGTTGAGTTTTTCTAATTCTGAATCATGTTGTTCTTTCCTACTTTGTATCTTTTTTATTAAGCTAGTTTAAAAATAGTAACAAGTTTTGATCTATTTTTGTGGCACATCTTTCAGGTATGTTTTCATCATCTATAATGATGATGTTATACTCCTTATTCTCTTTTTTTAATAATAATTTTGTATAGTATTTGAACTTGAAACTTTTTTTGTTGTTCATTTTTATGTCAAATTATTACTCCCAAATTTTTAGTAAGGGGCAGGCTTCCTCATCCAAGAAGCTTAAGTCTATCAGTAAAAAAACGTATTTCGGGCGCCTGGGTGGCTCAGTTGGTTAAGCGACTGCCTTCGGCTCAGGTCATGATCCCAGGATCCTGGGATCGAGTCCCGCATCGGGCTCACCCTGCTCTGCGGGGAGCCTGCTTCTGCCTCTGCCTGCCACTCACCCTGCTTGTGCTCTCTCTGTCAAATAAATAAGTAAAATCTTTAAAAAAAAAAAAAAAAAAAAACTTGAAAGTATTAAAAAAATAAAAAAACACTTTAAAAAAAAAAACGTATTTCAAGAAAGTCAAGTTTCTGGTTTATTGCAAGGAAGGAGTCCACATTCCAGAAGATCTATGGGGTGCCTCACTAAACAAAGGAAAAGATAGCTTTATTATAGGAATTTGGGGAAGTGTGGAATTTAGGAGAAATTAAAATGAAGTAGTGGTTTCTAGGCTCAAAAGAAAGTGAGGCTGTTTGTAAAGGGGTCTCCATTCGTTCTGGACTCCAACATGGGCCCCGGCTGCTGTTTTCTTGGAAACCACAGTTAAAATAGATGTATCGTGTCCACAAACCCCTTTTCTGAAGTTCTGCCCCTGGTTGGAAGTAGAGACTGCTTCTCTGTGTTAAGTGACTTAGGTCATCTAGCCAAGAGTAGGATATCTTAATCTTTTTTTTTTTAATTTTATGTTATGTCAATCACCATACATTACATCATTAGTTCTTGATGTAGTGTTCCATGATTCATTGTTTGTGTATAACACCCAGTGTTCCATTCAATACGTGCCCTCTTTAATACCCATCACCAGGCTAACCCATCCCCCTCCCCCCCACCCTCTAGAACCCTCAGTTTGTTTCTCAGAGTCCATAGTCTCTCATGGTTCGTCTCCCCCTCCAATTTCCCCCCCTTCATTTTCCCCTTCCTACTATCGTCTTCTTCTTCTTTTTTTTTTTTTTTTTTTTAACATATAATGTATTATTTGCTTCAGAGGCACAGGTCTGTGATTCACCAGTCTTACACAATTCAAAGCGCTCACCATAGCACATACCCTCCCCAATGTCTATCACCCAGCCACCCCATGCCTCCCACCCCCCACCACTCCAGCAACCCTCAGTTTGTTTCCTGAGATTAAGATTCCTCATATCAGTGAGATCATATGATACATGTCTTTCTCTGATTGACTTATTTCGCTCAGCATAATACTCTCCAGTTCCATCCACGTCATTGCAAATGGCAAAATTTCATTCCTTTTGATGGCTGCATAATATTCCATTGTATATATATACCATATCTTCTTTATCCATTCATCTGTCGATGGACATCTTGGCTCTTTCCATAGTTTGGCTATTGTGGACATTGCTGCTAAAGACTATACTTTCAGGAATCATTTCTATAGTTTGTTTATAGGATATCTTAATCTTAATGAATTGATTTCAAAGAGCAAGCTATTTGACAATCTGTGACTTTAGAGAAAAGGATTCTTTGTGAGTAAAAAAAAGTAGCAGTTACCCTGAGTCGGGTTTTTGTGGCACTTTACAGCCTGTTTTTGGGAAAAATATCTTCTGTTAACTTTACAGCTGGCTTTATCTGTGTCTATTATCTATACCTGAAGAATGGCAAGGCAGATTTTTACTTTCTTAGTCCAAGTTTATCTTTCCTTTCTCACAGCTTTCAGTAAAACTTTTCTAACATCAAAGAGCTCTCTTTTCTGTTGCTTTTGTGAAATATTAAAAAAATATGGTGGTTTGATTTTGTGATTTCCTGACACTCTTCTCTTCTCAACTTTGATCTGTCAAAGACCCACTGTCTCTTTCCTTTATTTCTGTGTCCCTGTGCTGCATATAAGTGTATATATGCATAGTTATATTTCAAAGCTATAGCACAATAATTTATTTCAAAATCTTTATTTTGGCATAATTTTAGAAATTTCAAAATTAG